CCGGTATGTACTCGAAAGTGTACATTGAGATTACTTTTGTTTGTAAAAGTCTTGTTACAGTACGAACATCCATATGGCTTTTCGCCGGTATGTGTTCGTATATGAAGATCAAGACAACCTTTCCTTTTAAATGTTCTACCGCAGTAAGAGCAGTCATAAGTCTTGGTATTACTCTTGTGCTGGGGTTGTACATTTTGCACAATCTCCTTTTCTTTCATCTTGGTAATTATGGTACTCAATGACTCATCCATCCCATAATCTTCACTAACTTCATCAAGGTTCTCGTTAACATCAGTGTTATTGAACGTGTTCTGCTCACTGACATCAATCGTAACATCATCGCTTACTTCTTCTTTTATTTCGAGGCTTTCGCTCTCCCTATTTTCCACTTGTCGTTCATTGTCTACATACATTGAGGTACAGTGATTGACACATCCGTAGTCTTCAGTCTGTGTAGCCACACTGCACAGTTCATTTCGTACACCTGGTACATCACTGGTCTGTACTTTGAGGATGGTATTCTAGATTAACAAGTAAAATGATTAATAGAACCATCCCTGTTCCATACCACTAAATTAAGCTTAGGTAGCAGGTCGTTTGTATGATGACGTCATTTTTTACATTACCAATGATGCTTGGYGAATTTTCTTCCTTATTTACTGAATTTGTATTTTCTCATGAAAATAGGAAGACAATATTGTTGGTAATTAATTGAACAAAAGAAAGTTTTCTAGGGAGTCAGGTAATAGTAGTAAATGACGCTATAATGCAAGTGACCTATAGTCTTTGCTCTTGTGTTCTAAGTTTCTAGACAATATTCAATATTTATGACTGTGGCAATGCATGATGTAGGTTCAATATATAGAAGTATTATTGTACATAATGTGGCATACAGTAAGAGAAGACCACAACACAGAAGAGCACGCCAAATGAAAGGAGGTCCGAGCATGAAATGCAGAATAGACTTACAGTACCTTAGAGTGTGGAGAATTTGTGGGCCATCTGAGTTCTCCAGTCTTAATGTTGTAATAAAACAAAATCTCTCCAGAATCACAGGCATATCCAAACCAATCTGACTCTGTTTCATCCAAGTTCATTTCTTCTCTCTTTATGTGGTCACCGGAAGCCATTGATATTCTAAAATAAATATAAAACCATTTCTTTAGCACCAGTGAAGTGATTTGAAGACAAATCATTGTCTCGACACCATCTCAACACTGTCTCTACCTTATAGATAGAGGTATATTCTACCTTATGTCAAATAAGTAGAGAGTGGCACCTTTTTCTTATTAGTGAGTTTGATCATACTTTACCTATTCTACAGGAACTTGGATGGTTTAAGACAAACTACAATTACATGATGTTACTATGGTATACAAATAACTGAATGGATTAACACCCAACTACCTTAGTTTTAAACTTGTAAAAAATTCAGAGAGACACTCATAACACTCGACAAAAAAAAAAACAGTTTAACTGGTTGGCTTAGTTAGTTGAGGATCAGCCTTTCATGTGGGAGATCTTGGTTTGAGTCCTAGCCGGACCAGCACTCAGGGTCTTCAAATAGCTGAGGACAAAGTGGTTAGACTTTCAAGTGGCTCGGATGATCACTTTAAATAATGGTCCCATCTCTCCACATTTCATAATTACTAACCAATATCGGAAGGATGTAAAAGAACCAAGAGGATGCAAAGAAACCCCCGCACGTAAGTAGCATAAAAAGATTCTCAACTTCAATGTAAAGCGCCTTTGATATCCATATAGAAAGGGCACTACATGAATCATATGTGTGTATGAGAATATATATGAAACATATATTTATACTGCAGTTGTAATGTATCAAATTGAGCTGATCATTGCAGAACATTAAGCAATTTATGAAGCTGCAAATTGAAAGATTAATAAAAATTCTGAGTCTTGAACGGGATTTGAACCCGTGCCCGGGCGATTCCAGAGCCATGCTCTAATTGCTGAGCTACCAAATCTCATATGAGACTTCAAGGACGCATTAGGTAGGTTTATTGGCCCGATAGGAGATATATATATGTGTGTGTGTGTGTGTGTGTGTGTGTGTGTATG